ACGGCCACCGCTTCTCTCGCTCTCTATGTCATACGCGACTCCAGTGACCTATAGGGGACGCTACTATCGGGCAAATATGGCGATCGAATCTAGGTCATGCCGTGCCATGTGCCAGCTCGACGCACAACGCTGGGGCACCAGCAAGTAAGCATTGGACTCAAAATTGGATTCCCCGCGTTTGATCTTCCACGTTTCGAACCTGCGGCGATGTGTTGGGGTAAGCAAACTTCCACAGGCTTGACTTTCTTGGAGGAAACGAGGAAAAGACTGCCCACTGTCCTTCCACGGTGCTGATGAACGTTGAGAAACGCCGAATATTTGGCTCAAGCGGTTCCATAGGTCGCGTGCAGAGCAACTTGGGTCACAAGACGATACTACGGTTACGACACAGTCACCGGTAGAACTGTTCTGTCGCGCAAACCACCGACAACATGGAAATACGGAAGCCAGAAGAGACGAGCAGAAATCGCGAAGGGACCTGTTCCGGCCAGTTCAGTGTTTTCCCGCTAGGTGCCGTTCGTTTTGCTGGAGTCGCGAATCGGTATGAAAGTGAGAACCCATGAACGATCGATAACCCATAACCGCCGCTTTTGCTCTGACTGGTCCAGTTTTCGGTCATGAAGTGTCCGTCGTCTCCATGGCATTACGGAGAACGGAAACCTCGAGTTTCAGTGCATACTTTGCTTGGCCAAACAACACACATTGTCATCAACAAGAACAACAAACTCTAATCTACGGAAACACATCAAGGTAAGCTGGGACACCTGCATTCAGCATTGGCTATACATTGTAACGTTAGAACCAAGTTTTTCTTTTCTCGTGAATAACAGGCGAAACACCCGAGTCAAAAGGGAGCTTTTGTAGATCGCTTCTTTAGCTCAGAATCTCGTAGCAGAATAGAGGCTTCTACTGAGCATGCGCACCACTAGCTTTGTCTCGATAATTCCAGGGATTATTTCCGGAGGCCGTGAGCTAGCGAGATGGCGGGTGTGGTTGCAGCTTTCGGTGCATTGTCAGCTTACAGGTGAACGAGTGCACCTGCACTCTTTCTCTTGAATACATTTTTTTATTTTTATTTTTACAAAGACTACCATAATACGGGTGTATAAGAAGTGAAAAGTAATGTTGCGGAGTATTTTTGAAAAATATCAAAATTGTTTCCTTTGTTTTCTGGATAAGTATACGAAAAAAGTAACGTTAAATTTCTAACGTAACGAGTAAAGTAATCCGTTGCCTTTCAGCGAAAGTAATTTGTAACGGTAATCCATTACATTTGAGGCTAGGTAATTTGTAATTGTAATCCGTTACATTTTTCAAGTAACGAGCGCAAGTCTGGCTACGCGGAATTCGCTCACTCGTGGAAAGCCGCTGTGAAGGTGGAACTTTTTCGACATCCCTCAACTTCTGGGCATCCCCGTCTAATTGACGGCAAGTTCCTTTGTTTACTGCGCTACGAGAGCAAACTTGCCAGCTCAGACGTGGGTGCTCTTGCACGTTTGATTTTTTAATTGGCGTTCGAACGTTTGACAAATACTGATTCGATTTCCAAACACCCGATATAATGATCGCAGCACATGATAAAATACTGGCCTTCGAGCACCGCGTAGAAGCTTCAATATTCCTACTTATGCGTGTTTCTCCTATAGTCGTGCGTGTATTGCCTGGTGCCAAGCAATGGCCGCTGGCGGTCCCACCCGCGGGTTCGCTCGGGGAAACACACTTTCCCCGAGCGAACAAGTGTGTTTCGGGTCCTTGCTGCTGCAAAAACTGTGAGCTCACGTCCAAGTTCCTCGAGAAATGGCTCTTCGATGCTGATCCTCGCGTTCGAAGTCTGCGACCGGGCATTCTATGGCTCCGTCGTCGAACAGCCAGGCTTTGCTAGCATAGAGGAGGCTATGGCATTGCGCTTCTCGCTGGCCGACCTTGAAGCGAGGAGCTCGCGCTCAGCCGCTCACATCATTTTGTTTTCAGTACGAAACGGAGTAATGCTTTGCAGCAGCTGTGCATGAGCGCCGCCATAACGGACCTTCAGTCTTTGTTTCCTCTTATTACGTTCGCCTCACTTCATTGCCACAGCAGGAAAGGTTATTGCCACTTTAGGTGCTACTGTGTCCTCCTCCCCAGCACCCAGCATAGACCTTAGTGGAGGCTCGTCAATGCCAACTTCAGTGTTTCGGTATCTCGGGAGCCGGGAAGACAAGGTCGGCATTGGCCGCTCAATTTGGCGTGCGTTTAAAGCGCAAGTATTCACTGGACGCCCTATTTGTGGGTGCTGTTTAAAGCGCATGCTCAGAACGAGCTCACATCAATAGGCTGCTAAGGCCGGCACTCTCGATGGTGCGGAATCCACGTTGCAAAAGAACTGTGGAAGCTCGCCATCAGCACGCGCACACAGATATGGCCGCCAGACTGGGCGCCATACTTGAGGTCGCTGTTTCGAGCGCATGCTCAGAACAAGCTCACATTAATAGGCTGCTAAGACCGGCAACCTTGATGGTGTGGAATGCAAAAGAACTGTGGAAGCTCGCCTCAGCACGCGCTCAGCATTTGTGCACATAGCTATTGGCGACGTGCACGACCGAAAGCGTCGCTGTGGTCGGCCTTTCACGATTGGCCCAAAAGCTGACTATGACGTCGGAAAGGGTATACCATCGACGGAAATAAGAAGAATGAATGAACTTTAATTTCGACGGTGTTGGCAGTGCTCCTTTGAGAGCGCAATGATTTCAGGCATCCACCATGCTATTTACAAACACCATCGAACTTGTTGTTCGCAAGGTAATGACGTCACAACGGGGAACCATAGGAGGGCGCCACCAAAACATCTCGCCGCTAATAAGCGCCAGTGAATACTCCCTGCTATACTTCGTCTCACCCTATGATGGACTAAAGGCAGAAGCTACGGACCGCCAGATCCAATCACGAGCCACTTACAAGTTGCGTGTATTTCGCTTCGATGCGCGTATCGGCACCCGCGTCTCGAATCACTAATGGGAGGGGTGGACGGTAGTTTGGATTGAACAGCACTGAGTGACTCAGCCGGTTTACATTGCAAAGACAGCTATGTCATACAGGCTCTTTGCAGTGTCGAAGCTATAAAATGATGACGAAAGTAATCCCTGGAGAAGGGGAACAAGGGGGACAAAGGACAAACAAATCTCCAAACACAGCTAGGTGACTGGTGCGCGACCGAAAAAATCCGCCTGGTCCGGGTATCGAACCCGGGACCTCTCCATTACAGGTGGAGCGCTCTACCAACTGAGCTAACCAGGGGTTAGACGTCAGTAGAGCAAACGGGTTTGTCCTTTGTCCCCCTTGTTCCCCTTCTCCAGGGATTACTTTCGTCATTCTTGTCCAGCTCGCTTGCCCCTTTGCATTTAAATGCATTATAATTATAAAATGATGCAGCGCGTTTGGACTTGGAGGATCATTCGTCCACCCCTAACCAATGCTAAGCGTGTCATATTTCAACTTGCAACGTGATTGAACCTTGCGGCCCGTGGCTTTGGCCTTTAGTCCATCGTAGGATGAGACTAAGTATAACGCACACCAGCTCGGAGCACGTGGACCGAAAGCTCGCGCTGCAGAACCCAGAATACTGGGTTCAATCCCCACCCCTGCCCGTCTCGATTTGGATGAGCATCGTGCCGGCGTGCGGTCGTGTATCACTACTGCGTGGTGGACGTTAAAGACCCCAGGCTAGCGGTTGTACTGCACTGGCTAAATTGCTCATCTACAGCTGGGAGACTCGTCGCCCCTGTGAGGCAGACCAAGTTCTAGGCTGTATAAACATACACACAACCCAATTTTTTTTAATACTCTCTATAGCTAAATATTAAGCTGTTCGTATTATTGGCTCGGTTTACATTAAAAAAGTAGCCAATTAATTAACCTGTAGTTGTTCACAAAAGATGGACAAATTCGATATTGCGAAAACTACGAGTCTCGACAAAAAAAAAAAAAAAAAAAAAAAAGGCCTGTGTTGTTTCGGTTTTCGGCCAGGGGCCTTTTTAACAACATTATTAAAATCTGGGATAATTAGATTGTTACTTATTTTTGCGTAATCAACTTTTTGTGTGTTTAAAGGCATGGTTTCAATTAGAAAATTGCTGAGCATCATCGAAAACACTAAATCAACAAACTGAAGAACGATAGAAGGCACGTGCAGCATTTTACGGCTTTCTGAAAAACCGCACAAATTCGACGGGTTTTCAAGTTTCGGTTTGCAATCGGAGCGCATCTCGGCCCCGACGGCACAGCGCCACGTAGTGAAATAGTGCAACCAGCCCCTGCTGCGTTGCGCGAGGACAGCGGTAATGCATAGACGCCAACACCGAGTGCGCTAAAGCGTTCAGGGCAACAATGGATGTCTTCACCCGGAGACAGACAGAAATGTAGGCACCCTATGTTCAATCCATGAGCCGCGCTCTGCGATCGTCAGGCGGGTGGTTTGCGAAGGCAAGACTGAAAGAAAGAGTCCAGTTTATCCTTTAAATTTCACACCGACAAAGCTGCATCTGAAAAAGTGGCAGTCTGTGCGAATATACTTGGGCCAGACTATGTACGCCTCTGCGAACTCGTTTAAAAATCGCGGTTGGAAGCGAATGACGGCGCAGCACTCGCCCGAGATGTTACGAGCGTTCGCACAATGGGTATAAGTATTTGGCATCTCTTATAAATAACGCCAACTATTGTTGCGCGAAGGTGCAAGACCGGTACCACGAGCGAGTGCCCCTCCGTCATTCGCTTCCTCAAGGTCCCCAGATCAACGGGCTCTAGCTGATTAACACTGTTTCACCCTATGTTGTACCGCAGCGAAGGCTAGAAGCGCGACCTCATAGCGTTGGCAGCTGCCCCTAATGCACGAGAGCTTGTGCCGCCGAGATGTGCCCCAGAGCAAGGAGCTTGCGCGTGTAGCCTTTACTGCGGTACACAAGGTCGAGGAGAAATCCGACTCTCGCGTGATAACCGCTTTATGAACGAAGAGCCATACTCGCAGAAAGGGCAGAGGAAACGCCTCAAAGGGCAGATTCTTTATTGACAGTAGCGCCTTCGATACTCTGTCGACAAAAACTAAATTCCCGGACGCTTCACCTACGACGGAAGAGAATATGGTCTGCTGGTGAGGAGCTTGGACGCAAGCGTAGTCAATCGCTTTCTTGCGCTGCTCTATCAAAGATTGTTTCTAGTGCTCCCCATATATTGCAATCCTTTTCTTTCGCCACTCGCCACGTTTCGAGACTCGCCAATTTGAATCGCAGCCTTATGAAACAGTTATTTCGAGATAACCAATCATGACCATCTGGACACAGCTTGGTGCCTAGCAGACGACCGAGTGGGGGGTGTGATCGCTAACTGAAAGAGCAAGACGGAGGAGTCTTTTACAGTTGCTTCCATCACTTGCTTCAATAGGCAGTTTTCACATGACGTCAATCCGCCATTATGTTGTTAGTTTTGTTTTTTCAAACAAATTTACTAACATGGAGGATTACATCGCAAACTGTTGAGATGACAGAGTGGTAAGACTTGTAAGCTTCTGTGCTCTACGCATTTAAGGGGCCATGTAAATCCTTGGAATGCTTGCCTTCGGCACGCCCCAAACAGCTCGCAACATCAAAATGGGGGACAAAATTACGTCGGTGAAAACTCCCGAAGGCACTCATCCCGTGAGCTTCGAGCACGTTCCAAAGCACTGCCGAAAGCGGCGCATGCTGAAGGCTCGGCATCAGAAGCCCCACCATTCTCATCAAGCTATACTTTGTTACATAAGTCAATTGAATTCTCTACCACTCTCCAGGACAGCCGTGCCTCGAATGACGCGTGCCAGTCTACTTGAACTGGCTGCCACGCTTCTTACAAAGCACAGATGTCTCTGACTAGAGACAAACTTCCGTAACAACGCAAGAAAACGGAACTATGGGAACCATCCTTTGACAAAAGGGTGAGCAGATTTAGCAATTGCACTTATTCCTCAATTTGTTTATTTAAAGTATCAACGTCACAAAATAACACAAATACCTCTTATTCCTTCAACACATAAGGCACAGACTCAATGTGGCACCAAAAACACTTTGTTGGCACACATTCCAGTTAAATCTAGACACTGAGCTGACAAATGCTAGTGGACAAACTGGGACTAGTACATTGCCCTAATCGCAGCCTTTACGAGAAATGCTGCTTGCAAGCATTCGAGAGACCGCACGGTACTTGTTTCCAAGCCACAGAGGCACAAACAAATTCGGCATAACCTGAACGCACAATCCCAACGCAAGGTGGAGAAGTACCCCGTTTAAATGAAGTTAACAGCCAACCCACTGTTCACGAAAAAAATATTTAACATGTTAAATGTTTATAAAAAAAAATAAAAAAATACAGCAGGTTTAATGCCTTCTTGGCAAAGGTCAGGGCTGGAAGAGACCCCCAAGGGTCCTTGTGGTGGTGCTGCTCCTCGAGTGGGCACACCGGCTGGTTGGTGGTGGGGGGGAAGGGGAGTGACCCCTCTTTAGTTCTTATCTGTGCAAGATACAAGAAAACAATCGTTGGAGCAACCAAAAAGTGCCATAGCAACGAGCACATCCTTCTGAATCGGGAACACAGCCATAGAACTATAGATCCAAGTATAAAGCAGCGAGTGCCTGCAGAGAATGTCTCGCAAGAGTCCCCCTTCCCCACAAGGTGTGGCAGCAGGTAGCAGCAAAGGCCAGTGCTTTACTAGTGGGATCTGCACCAGTAGGAGGCGACACTATTACTTTTGGCGACAGGAATAAGACAAGCTGCCCCACATTATGTCAATGATTACCTTTGCTTGGACTTTACGGGTTTACTCTAGTGAAGTATGTAAAATTCCACACTTCCATATTTCTAGCCACTGCCGCTCGATCGACATCGTAGGGCGGCCTCAAGAAAAGACATTTTACCTTTGGCGAGCTGTCAGCAGCCATGCTCGTGAACCTTTTCAGCAGTTCTCCACGTTAGTATGTAATCAATCCTTCATTGGTACCGTTTTAAAAAGCTGACAGGTCTTGGAACTGAGGTTGTGGACCCCCGGATGCGCAATCGGGGATGTATTTGGGCCTTGTAAACCCTCATTTATTAAACCCCTTGCCCATCCAAGTTGCGCCTGCACATCCGCGGGCCCATTTTGGCTGCCAAAGAGTCTGCTCGTCCATTTCCAACAACAGCCGACACGCGTGAAAAGTGAGGGTCGGCCGACTTCTCTGTCATACTTATCCGGCTGCCACACCTAATCGCAAGTGAACAGATTTTGAGCGAGCTTGAGAAGACTGCACTTCAACATTAGAATAGGACGAAACTTCTCTTAGCAGTCGAGTTAGCGGTACATCACTCGATCGAGACTACCCATTCCATGATTCGACTGTTACCTTAACCAGGACATAACTCAGTATAGTCTATAGACCACTCTACAAGGGCGAGAGCCGAGGGGGGAATGAGCCTTTATGTTTGCGCAGTCCCGGCGGCATAGTTCACCGGAACTGCCCAAACGATGAGAACGGTGCATCCCTCTTTCCTCTTCTATCCCGCTGACATGCCAGTGCAGGACAGTCGATTTGTCATCTGCTATCAGGATCGCCCTTACCCCCTCCCCTTCTACCCCCACGATTCCATTGAAATGCCCGGGTGTATCTAGACGGCGCTGCAGTCAAACGAAATGGCACCGCCCAGACAGCCCTTGGCCGAATGGTCTGTTAGTAGGTAAGAGAAGCAGGACAAGCTCTTAAAATCTCAAGCAACCACTTAATTACAGCATTGAACCAAGGACCAATGTTCCTATGGCAATGTCCCAGCATAATGGTCACGAGACACGACCATCCAATCATTCATTAATGCGCATACTGTTAGAAACACTAATCTGTAAACATTTTCTACTTCACAACTGGACTGACTTGTGTGACAAAAGGTGTGAAATATAAAAAACAAGTTCAATCAAGATATGCAATAGTGTAGGGAAAAAAAGTGCAATTCCAAATATTTGTCCCTTTTCTGTTGGGCAGCAAACTCCGTGGAACCATATATCAGGTAGCCCGACACTTCCGGTCCGCCTTTATCTATAAATTTTTTTACTCAATTCTTTTACCATAAGAGAGTTATGTCTCAGTGCTATAAGCAACCATTTCTTGAAGATAGCTTGCACACTAACACCACATTTCGACTTACACCAAAACAAGTGAATAAAACATTACAGTACACAATTTAATATAATTATAACCTCGTCATGATTAGGGTTTCATGTTGCCAAGATTTACCTGCTTTTCTTCAAATTGGGTGGAATGGGTGGGGGGTTATTTTCTCAAAGATTTGGCATTGTTCGGTGCCCATTTTAGGTGTTCAACAAAAACATTGATGGGGCTCAATTTGAACAAAATGGGCATGGGATTCCCCAACCTCCGGGAACCAGAAGCATGTGAACTGAACACTTAGAAAACATACCGGTATGGATAAGAAAACAAGACATGAAAAAGGCATTGTAGAACAAAAAAAAAAGAAAAAAAAAAAAAGAAAAAAAAACAGCCTTGCAGACGTATGTGTTAGCTGTATTCTAAGCAATGACACAAACCCCCCCCAAAAAAAAATTTCAGACACCGGGCAAGAGTGACTTTTTTTCATTCAATTTACCGCCGTAATTGGCCTAGCAAGAAGGTAACGAGTAAACAAAAATCCTTAGAAGGGAAATTTCTTTTTTGACTGACCACTTCCATGCACAGAACGTCCATTGCACCATCATGCTTTTGCTAGGTGTGTTGCCATACCTGCTATCGTACCATGTTTACACAAATGTAGGTCGACCCATTTTTCAATTTTTAAAAAATCTGAAGTGCGGGGGGGGGGGGGGGGAGTCGAACCAAAGCATTCCACCGCCAACAAAATTGAAACGATCGCAATATCAAGAACACCTCAGCATGCTGCGAGTCCAGCCAACTGTACCTGTAGCATTGCGCTATTCTGTGTGCTCATTTTTGAAACTTACAAGTTCTTTTTTATTTGTATTTTCGCAAACGAGTTATTGATAGCGATTCGCAAATAAGCCCGAACGTACGGCGGTGAAAAACTGTGCACCCGACTCCCAGGGAGAGCAATTCCGGAGGCTGCTGGAACAGTCTCACGCATCACTCCCTGTGGCTTCTTTTCGCAGTTTATCGCACAATTCAGTCACAAGTCGTTTGATCGAATGTCAAGATCATGCTGGAGCGCCTACATTTTTTTGTATTGACATGAGTGATCCGTGCAGTTTAGGTGTTTGGTGTTCGTTTATGGCCATTCTTCATCCAGAAGCAACCAACAACTGCGCTGCTGGATGCAAATACAACCCGTCTGAGTGGGTGGTGCTCCAGTGGAGTCCGCAATGGCGCGGGATTTCAACTGACGGCAAACGAAAAGGCTTTTGTAGGAAAAAGTCTTGAGAAGGGGGGGGGAGGGGGGGAATGCCTTCCAGAGTTGGAGGTGCTCATGCATAAAGCTGCTCACAAAGTGCTTGAAGTGCATGCTCGTGCATAAAGCGCAATCGTAAAGCCGCAGTCTCGCTGCACATACACCACGCAAAAGACACTGCGACAAAAATATCTGCAGACAAGCCTGACGCATGTTTGAAACGTGCTTGCCGCATGTGCCTCAAACATGTCTGCAGGCAGTACTCGTACAACCAGTGCGACAGAAGCGTCTGACGAAAAAGGAACATGCCTTAGGCAGTGTCAGTCTTTTGTAAGACTTATTAAAAGCGAGACCGCGACATTGGTCTTTGTGGCAATGGACGCACCTCGTGTTACTTTGGGGTTTGACCGCTCGCGGGAAGGAGCTTTTCCCCGCAGCGGGCGATCCCGAGGAGAGAGCGGGGCTTCTGGCAGGGGGAGGAGGAGGGGCCCAGGCAAGCCATGCAAGACAGGTACAACCTCGCGTCCAAACACAAACCCAAATGGGTGGCATGCTCGCGAGAGACTACGGCGGGGCCTCTCTAGGGTAAAGCCGGTGTAGCCAGGAATTCTCCCTATGTATCTAGCGGCTCCAATTCCCGTCCCAGTTTTAGGACGAGCAGACTGCAACTCTGCTTCGCTATGGCTCTGCCACATCAGCTTTTACTAGAGAGGTTCCATGGCATCGCTCGTTACCAGGTTCCCGTCAGCAACTAGAAAAACTAAACAAGCTGCACCCATACTTTGTTTAACCCTGAGTCAAGACGCAGCTGAAGGGATTAATCAAACAACATAAAAAATGCAACATTGTGGTATTCATCAAGTGTCGTACGTGTTCTAACGTCGCTCAACCAACTGGGTACAAAAGACCCAGTGACTGGCACTTTCGACACTGACTGGTCACATTAAGTTGTAGCGTCGGCTGCGTCTGGATTTAAAGGGATACTGCAATGAAATTCTAGAGTCTATTTATTGCCTAAATGTCCACCATATTCTGGCCACGGAGACACCAATATTTTGCTCGAAAGAACACATTTAAAAGGAATAAACCGAATGTCGTCACCGTAAGACTGAACACAAAAGCTGTGTGCACGCAATTAAGCCTTGTCAAACTTTGCCCAACTGGATTTCCCTGCTGTCCCGTACCTATTCAACTCCTGCGGAGAGCGGGCATCCCAAACGGCCAGGCTGCGACACGTAACACAACTCCTGCAGGAGTTGAATAGGGAAATCTGGTTCTGCAAAGTTTTATGGGCCTTATGCGCAAGCAGCTTGCCGCTGTACTTCCGCACAGTGTGTTGCTTTTATAGAGTTTGATGTAACAATATTCCATTTACTCCCTTTAAATAATGTTTCGGTGTCTTTTCGAGCAAAAATTGGCGTCATCGTGGTGCGGCCAGAATGTGGTTGACATTTAGAAGATAACGCAGGCGCTTGAATTTCGTTGCAGTATCCCTTTGAAGTGAAACAAAGTATAGGGCATTGGCCCTTCATTCCACAATTTTCTTGCCAGTGCAGCCATTTGGCTGTCTGGTGCGGGGCGGGCGCAATTGGCAACCGTTAGAATACTAGCAAACGAGACTTCCCGAGCTATACGTCGTTGGTTTTTCTCTGTCCGTTTAAATATTCCCATAAGATGAAAAAGTTTCCTGTGACTTCAGATAAAGCATTGGTTAACAGGCAACAATTTCAAGCACCCGGATGGCTGGAAAAGCCCCAGGAGCGGCGGCGGGAGGACATTCGGTTGAGGGCGGATGTGGTAAAAAGGCGACTGGAGACTGCAGTAAATGACGAAGGAGGGGGAGGGGGAGGAGGGTGGGGGGCATGGCGCAACAGACTTAGCTCCAGTCTCGGACGGAAGTGGCAGAGCCGCCGACCGGCTAGATCCGTAACCCAAAGTTACGTGATCACCCGTCACAAAGAGGAAGCCAAATGAATCCAGTCCAACGGCTCGAGCGCCTTCAGTCCGCAGCATAGCTTACTCGGCGGCTCTACTACCAACCACCCCTTGCCGCTCCACTCATTGTGGGGCGTGCAGACGCGACGTGCACGGCCGGGCGACTCACTGGGCGCGCTGTTCTTCATGAGGGCGAGCACGCCGGCCACGATGGCATTGAACTTCATGTTCGAGAGGCCGCCCTGGGACTCGCGGAACTGCTTCAGGTGCTCCTTGATCTGCTCCCTGCAGATGGGGTCGGGGCCCAATGAAAGACCAATCCCCACCCGGCAGGCATAAGCGCTCCACCGTCAAGTGCAGCGAGACAAGTTAGGCCAAAGGCTCTGCGTCTAAAGGCCGGTTTTCAATGCTTGCATTTGCTTACAACAGATTTCTCGCCATCTCTTACGACGACGACGGAAACCTTGCTTATTTCTTAAAGACAAAAGCACACCGGCATAGTGGCTCCATCTACGAGATGGTTTGGCAAATACACTCCACTAGACCGAAGGTTTTGTGCATTGGAGAGATCAAATGTATGTACTATCTACGACAAATGGTCGCTCATAGGTTGGATTCTGCGTTTTCAGAGTTTGTTTCTTAATAAATTTGGAGGGCATTTTTCGTAGTTCAATTTTCGCAGAAAATTCAGGGTTTTATCAAAGTTTATTTTTGCTAGATTCCAAGTTCTCCAAAATCCCAAGTTTCTTTACCGTGTTCCCAACTTTTAAAATTCAAAAATAAATAAAATCCAGGTACCGCAACCCATTGTCACAAAGGAACCTCGACGAGCTAAAAGGCAAGCTCCTTTGTCGGTAGTTCAAGAATTTGAAGGAAACTGAAGCGGCATTCCCTTGGAAGCAGTGACCTTGCGCTTTTACGAAGTTCATTTGTAAAACAGTCCCGCGGTTTTATAGCAGCGACTACTGTAAAACCCTTTATTTTCGCGGCCCCTATTTTTCGCGAATCGGTCACAGATGACATAATCGCGACCATTAAATTTCGCGAATTCCAGATGCCTGCATTGAAAATCTTAAGGACCGAAATTTTCACGTGCCCTTAAATTTCGCGAATTCTTCAATTCGTGAAATTTGTGAAAATTGAGGGCTCGCGAACATTAAGGGTTTTACAGTATTTCGACGTCCACCAACAAGATATCTAATTATTTTGACGTCCATCACTTCCACAAAACGTCGAATAGTTGCTTTAATATATTTCTGTCCTCTTTTAATGCAGCAGCTGTAACAGTGGCAACTGTTTTGTGGTTTCTTTTAGTTTCCCATGGTGTCGTCGGTGTTGTGTTCGCGTTTTGACGGGTAGTATTGGTCCCAGTTGACAGTGGAAATGTTTTATTCAGCGTGTGTGCGAGACCGGCCCAACAGTATCCTTTCGGACGTAACATGCACAGTGACAGTGTTCCGAGCGTTCCGAGCTTGCATCTCGGCACACATCTCACTCGAAAGTTTGGATTTACAACAAAAACGAGCTGAATATCCCTCTGTCTTCCCTGCACGTAACAAATGTAAGTGCGTAACTACATAACACTGAGAAATTTGGCATGCTTTTTGTGCCTTTATACCGTGCGAGCGCATCTTCGTATGGGTGCAGTGTCGCTTTGCATCTAGCTCCCGCCCCGTTTTTAACCAAGTTTTGAGAGTATTTTCTGTATGGTTCGTGTAACAAGCAGGTTAACTACAAAATGATTGGGATTTTAAACAAAAGGTTGTGAATGCAAGCATTGCCTCCCTGATGCTTCTTGACCAGCAAACGAACAAAGGTTCTGGCGAAGTTGTACGAGGTACACATTTTCCAACCAGCTGCGAATTATATGACACTGCATTCAGTTCCTTTGCCTGTATAAATCGCATGAAATAAATGGTTAAAAACAACGGTGCAACATCCTGGAATGCTTGGGGCAACCAAGCAAACATTACTTTCGGCCTGATAGCGGATGTACTTTGAGAAGGTCGTTCTGGATTCCACAAAAGGTCATGAAAACAGCCGTCGACTGCATGACATTTGTTTTCGGAAAATCCGTATAGACCCATGATGCTGCCTGCAAGCAACATGATATTTTTTTGACCGCCATGTCCGATCGCTCTCAAGTTTGGACTCCAAAGCTCCGAATTTCCAAGTTTAAGACGTCAAAATAATGACAAAAATATTTTCATGGGGGACGTCTAAACATTTTTGAAAACAATTTCCCGTCTTTAAGAAGTGGCGTCACGGATGTCAAAATAATATTCGGTATTATTTTGGAAGTGGACGTTGATTCAGTTTTTTCAGATAAATTAAAAACAATGTCAAATCTACCGGCAAGCATTTTTTGGATTTTTCCGGAAACACAAAACCCTACTTATAACATTCTACAAAATTTTCCAAGTCAATAAAAAAAATGATGCGCGAAAAAAAAAAAAAGGGGGAAAAGGAGAAAATAAAAAAGGGAAAGTGTTTTAAGCCTATCCAAAAAACGGTGCCAGAGTGTTCTCCCGTCATATCCTCAGAAGTGGCGCTCGGTCGCAAGCATTCGCAAGTATGTGGACCAGCCTTTACAGAAGCATACCCCAAAACAGCTGTAGGCCACAAAAATGCGCTGCAGCTTCCCGCACTCTATAAAATGAATCTATGCCGACGCGCACAGAGGCAAAAACTAACGTAATGGGAAAAACCGACGCGATAACTGGAGTCCCCAGGAACTTAAGTGTCGGTGGAAAAGACTTACGATCATACTGCCGCAACTACCTCACTACCGTTACGAATGCGTTTGACGGTAGGAGGCAAATAGGGCGGTGCGCATAAAAGGTTCATTACCGCTTCCAGAAAGTAAGTACAGCTACAAGACCCCAACGGCGAGGGGGCAGTTATCCCTACGCTCGGACATAATGCGCAAAGAAGAGCACGACCGGAGAATTTACGTAACAAATGGTTTTAAGCTGCCTGCAGTCTCAATAAGCGGGTCAAAGAGGCCGAATATCAAAATGCTTCAGCTTGACAAAAAGAAACTCCAGCCACAATTTTCAACGTGGAAAGCGTTCCAATAAAACTCTCGCGTCTGTCGATATGAAATGGTACTCACTCCGTGAAAGATTGTTGCTTTTTTTTGACCATCTTTATTATCTTGTCCCATTTTTCTTCCATCTGCGAGACAAACGCAAAATACGTTATCATAAGGGTGGACGACGGAAAACCACCCAGATTATGCATCGTGCGATACGTTGGGAAAGCTAGAAAACAAAAAGACACCTGCCCTAAGGTTGGGAGACACTTTTTCTTTTGTCGGGGTTTACTTGCATCAATGTACTACTATCGGGGAAAAATGAAATGCAAAGAAAGAAACGCGTGACTCGCAGCACAGGCTGCGCCGCCTGAAAGTGACCCTAGGGGCGAAGGTGAGTGGCCTACTCCGATGTGTTTACGCCTTCCGCTCGGCGCTCCCCAACCTTCGGCAGTGCGCCTCAGTGCGCTGAAAGCTTTGCTCGCGCGTGCTACGCGAGTAAGCTCGCCGCTAGTAGCAGCTAAAGTGCGCGCTTTAGCTGCTTTCAGTTTTGGTTGCATTGCTGTGAAGTGGTGTAGACGTGAACCGCATCCTAGGCTGACCCCCGAGTTGCAATATTAATTTTGTTATAGAAACTATCGGCCTAGATTTGAGTGAATATGGTATTGGCACCTAAAATGCCATTCGAGCGACCGGTACGACTCTGTAAAGTCAAACATTTGAACCGGACATCGTTTCATGACCCCTTTGAGGGGAAATGAAGCGTGTCACGCCGTCCCTGTTCCCTCGAGCACACCTTGTGGTCCCCGCCTTGGTCGGAACTCGCCTTGGTCTTGGAGGGTGATCCGCCGCTGCTCGACCACATCGACTCCACGTCGGAGGAGCCCTGACGCTCCATCTTCAGCTGCAGTTCGTAGAAGTCCGGAATGGGGCAACGCTCCGCTGCGGGCAAGACGCACGCATCAACTCGCGACATCCTTAAAGCCGCACTGCTCGTAGGTCCTCCGAAAAAGACCATTCGCTGCAGACTTGACAGGATTACTCGCGGATGCACCACAAGCATGTTCGAGGCACGCTTCGCGTATATGCATGCTTGCCTGCAGACGGTTTTTGTGTGGCGTTTGGCCTCTTGTAGCAGCTTCTGTAGCAGGCAATACATCGGTTTGGAGCAGCGAATGATGCTTTTCGAGGCCAACATCCGTTAGCACATATTCGATTATGATTGAGGGTTTTTATTTCATATTGGAGAACATTACTCATTACCATGGAGGTAGGAAGAAGGGGAGGCGACATACCGGCTCAGGTCAGCCAAATGAGAAAATGCCGAGTCAAGACTGAAGTGGAGGTCGGAGTCTGTGCGAACGCCCCCAAGTGTGACCAAAACAGCTGTTGTCGTCAAATCAGCTGTTCGGTATTTCTGTCCAATAGCGTATTTTGATTTTGGTCATCATTGGGGGCGTATCAATATGGCGTCATGTAGTCTCCAGAAGCTTCCTACCTTCATGCTTATTACCTTTCATAGTAAGAATAGGTAGGCTGGCACAAAAGCAACGCAGAACCTTCCTTCTAGAAATAATCATAGGTCTGGTCAGAGTACGTTCCATTTACAATTGGCACTGAGGAAATGGTTGAAAAATGAATCAGTGCGACACTTCAGTTTGGATAAAACCTCTCTGCCCTCCCACTTTTAGACCCAGTAGTTTATATAGCCTGTGTATAATTTATGCTAAATGCAAGCAAAAACCACCGTATCTGCTAGCACGTCTATCAATAAAAGTGCTTCCCCCAAGTTCTATGAATCTACCAATCTCGAGACTAATATATATCCAGAACTGCAGAAAACCCCAACCACAGTTATTATGAAAACACACTTGCACTTCAAAATTGACACTGCTCTTCAGCACCGTTGTAACCGGAGTTTAATCAAAAAGTGCTGCTCTATCAAGCCACAGCTGCTTAGGGTCTACCTCGACTACCCGATTTTGTTCAAATATAAAATCACATTTTTTCGTCTTGTTCTTTGTGCAGTTTTACAAAATTTGAGATCAACCTACAAGCAAGACCGAAGCAGAGCCAAATATGAGAAGAGTTTGGCCAGTGGGTGTGGCGACGAAGGTGCCGGAGAGAAGTGAAGGAAAGGGAGGAGAGCGCCGAAGGAGCGAGAGAAAAAGAAGGGAGCAGAGAGGTGACGACCGCCATTTTCATGCAACGCTGTCGGCGCTAAGCGCTGTTCAGGCTATGCGTCGTCTGCTATGGGCTTACTTCTTTTTCGCCTGAACAAAAGTTTGCGTTCAAACGTTAAGAAACCTCATTTGTTAGCTTTTTAAGCCACCGAGGAATAACACTATAATTTTCTTGCCAGAGCCTGCCAAAAGGAAAGAACCGAAACTTGGATGTCGATCCCATACGTTCCGCCGGACGAATGAACGCAAATGGCGGCCCTCCCACCCCCAGCTGGGAGCAGCCGGGACATCATGCGCATGCATTTGCCTCTCGCTTTGCGCCGCGGGCTGATTGGCTCATTCGGGAGGGGGGTGTTACGGCGGCGAGATCATAGACAGGCCAAACTCTCCCCATATACGGCTTTGGACTGAAGAAGCTAGACTCGCAATAGTATAATATCAGAGCCTATTGCACTAACCCTCACCCATGTCAGCCACTGCTCGTAGCACTCCGGTGCAAATTGAAGCTCGCGATAATCTAGTGATCTCATCGGGAGTACTAGACCCCAGCTCTGTCTTTTAGAAGTAGCTGCCATCCTACTATTTAAGCTCCCGACATCGCCGAAGTCGCCTGGAAATTCAGACGAAGTCGGCGATTGAGCCGCCAGAGCAGATTGACGAGCAATCGCAATACTTTGTTTTGAGCCAATGGGACCAACCAAAGAGCATCAATGTGCCACATCGTGGCGTTTGCCCATAGTCTCTTAAGTGTTCTTCCGTCGACTAAAGGGGTGCCCAAACAGGACACTACAAAACGCACGACTCCGACAAATCGTGAAAATTGAAGCGGACGCTTTTATTTTTACGATTTGTCGGAGTCGTAAAAATTTTTGCAGGAGTCGTGAAAATTTTCACGATCACGACTTCTCTCTTTGCATCCTCCACTTTGCTCCGACGTCACACGCCACCTGCGTCTGGCTCACCTCGCCAACGCCCTCGCGTACCGCCGTCGCCTCGGCTCGAAGGCCAAGGAGGTTCGGCTTTGGGTGGATTTGGGACATTCCTGCGTCGAAGGGTGCGTTTCGCCCGCCTCTGATCTGCTTTCTTTGTCGAGATTCACTTTCGTCGTGATGGCGTCTGACGCGGTTCCGTATTGTGAGCGGAGGCATTGAGCGATTGACCGACAGCCAACAGAGCGTGTGAGTGGCTCTCCGGACCCACCTGATGAGCAGAGCAAGGCCGCCGTGAAGGAAGCGAGGGGGAGATTTGACGCGGGGGAAGTTTCCCCGCGGGAGCTTTGACGGAGGGAAAATTCCCCCTGGCGGCCGGAAGTGGAGCGCGGCACGATTTGCCGGAGTCGTGAGTTTTGTAGTATCCTGTTTGGAGAGGCCTTAAACCAACGAAGTGCAGTGAATGTCCCGTGACTAGCGCTTCTGTGTCCCCCAATAAGTTTACAGGATCGTTTCTACCGCAAAAATACACCATTCATCACCGAACGCTCATTCTCCGTCCAAATGTAGCCCTGGCAGTCCGAAGCAGATGACAAAGATTCCGAACTAACTGCTACCTTATTCGTAAGGTTTTTTAACAGAAAAATGGCAGCCGACGGACCTGTCGAATACATAGAGCCGAATGGCCCCAGTACCCGAAAATGGGCCCCGTTTTCCCACTGATATTTTCAGAAAGTCACCTATAACTTTTAACCGAGATAATTCTGAAACATTGGCACCTGGTTCAGATCACTGGCGCTACATTTGGGCGGAGAATGAGCATTCGGCAATGCATAGTTTGTGTTTGCAATGCAACAAAACAGCGTACCAATAACAAAATATTTTTAGTTCTGCCTTCGGTTTGCTCGGCGCAGGTGCGGCTCGATTCTTAGCAAAAATAGCACTTCGACGCAGGAGACTCAGCACTGCCCACACAACAGGACCGTTGTGCAAGGAAGACAGCGTCTGTAGACTCTTTCGTAAATTTTCCTGCACCGGTGCAGAAAAGTGTAGGCCGGTGTACTTCCAGTCGTATCTCAATACATACACCAGAAGTACACTGCCCCGCACTTTTCTGCAACAGTGCAGGAGATGCAGGTAAATCCAACCAAGCTGATGTATTAGCAGTACGACCGCAGCTTTAGTCTGCGGCACCCATACGTGACTTGAGTGGAGATCCACTTGTACCCCAGGAAGCACGGGGTTACGTGCTAAAGCTTTTACCACGACATAACATTTACCCTTTGCACAAGCGATCACATTTACTTAGCTGTCGAGTGACGAAAGCACTACAATACAATTTTAAAAGGGCAACGCTCCTCTATTAAAAAAAATATTGAGTTAACAGACAATCTCGCAACAAGTGCTAAATAAATGGGCTATGGCTGCAGCGAGCAATATTGGCTCCACATTTAAACATGGCACACTCAACGGTACCAACAGTCGCGTGATTTATCGTGTAAATGGATGAGGTGCAAGTAGTGCGAGCGGCGTCATCCGCGTTGCAACAGCGCGCTCTACGCTCAATGGTGTCTGCAGTCTACATTACTGCCGCACGTGCAGCTAAAGTTTGTAACCAGAATGTGACGGGGACTGAGCCGATATACGCTAAATGGCGATTAACAAATTAACCTCCAGCAAATGGCTGCAGCGGGGTCTTTGCAATGCCGTAGCCAGCGCAAAAAGTGATTGTGTCTCACCGAACACTCTGGATCTGCACATACCGTACAATACGCAGCGCTGCTAGCACAAACTTAACGTTTGCTCTTTCGAGCCTTTTACTTGGACGGAGCACAGACACGCCAAATTTTGCCACTTCGGTACTATGCTAGTTTTCATGGCAGCCATTCAATTTTAAAGGGGCCATGAAACGAATTTTGGGCTGGGATGAATGATTTTAAAATTGGGACTTTACTAATCGCATGTCGTTTAGTTGGCCAGAAGAAAGAGGCTAGAAAGTCAAAAGCCAGATTTTTGGTACGAGCATTTGAAAATATAGCGGACTATTTTGTACCTTCTTGCCTTCGAAAGCACTCCGCCTTTTGACTATGATACATCTGCGGTTCCAAAAGCACGTCACCGGTGCCAAACTGACGTCAGCAGAGCCCAGCTCATGCATTGGACACGAGAACTGCGTCACTCGGACGTATGCGCTCGTCAACAATCAATCGGTCGACGAATATTTGGATTCGCGTTCGTGGCCAATGAGTGCCCTGACGGAGCTTATTGTCACTGGGGAATGGCAAGTTCTATGGTGTGCATAAAAAGCACGGTGGAAATTAGGATTCATCGCACCGGTGCCGAAGGAATGTCACGACCACATGATTTCACAATTCGCATTTGAGTTGAGGATTAAAGCTAAAAAGGAAGAAATAGGAAAATCGTTTCATGACCCCTTTAAAAGAAAAACACGAAGACGGTAAGTTCATAGAGCAGACTCAGTCAAAACTCGACCTAATGAAGTGAAGGGAAGCCGCGAATTACTTCGTTAAATCGGGAACTTTGTAAAATCAACAGTCATTTTTCGGACATATCGTCCGTAAATACTAATGGTATATTCGGCTGGTCGTTTTTCGGCCTCTTTGAGTGCTCTAAAAGCCGGTGTGCATTCGGCTGGTCGATGCCAGGCGCTCTAAGTATATTCGCCTGGCTCTTTCGGAGCGCTCTCGAAGCTCCGACTCTCGCCATCCTCCGAATCGGAGCGGTTTGAGGCGCTCCGACTTGGAACTGGGAGCGCGCAAGATTGGGATTGGGGTTGGGGTTTTATGGCGCAAGGGCTGCTGAGGCCAAA